AAAGCTTAAAACAAAATTCTTGAAAATTATAGGACTAAAAATATTAGTTTTAAATTTAAAGAACTAAATAAATTTACTTTTAATTTGATAAATTATAGATATATTTAAGTCATTTTTTAAATTTAAAAAATTTACCACATCTTATTTTTGTGCACATAATTTTTGTTACACTAGTCTTATTTAAAAAAATTACAAAGTTTTAACATGTTATTGTGTGAATTATTTACCAATTATGCGACCACACGTATTAGAATTCCTCTCCTAATTACATTATTTTTATTCTTATATAATTCTGAAAACTTAAAAAATTGAATTCAATTTTATTTGGGCGTACATGAGTCATATTATATTTATATTTTGAGTGACTCGCGATTTTAATTTTAAATGTCAATTTCTAACCCTATTCAAATAGAAATAAAAGAAAATAATTCACTCATAGTCGACACATAGTCAAACTTGTGGGCTATATTATATTCATGTTTTGAGCAACACCGTCTCTTAACTCCATCTAAATAGTGATATAAGTCGAAGGCCACATTTAAGAAGCTGCTCGAAAGAAAGATAAAAATCAACACCTATTGAGAACTTATCACGAGTCTTATTTGTTTGTGCTTGGGATATAGTCGAATAGAGCTCGAAAAAGCGGAAAAAGAAGTTACTGGAAGTTCCTGACAGTTAAGGCGCACTAAGGTGGTTATTAAAGGTCGAATCGAGAAAGTTGAAACGTGGGATTAAATATCCTAATTATCCTTGTACCACATAACCCTAAAACTACACTCTCTCATCTTATTTTCTTACAAAAGTGAGGTTGATGAAGTTACCAACATGTGTTAAGCATGTTATAGAATTATGTTGGATGTAATTTGATTAATTTTCTAGTTTTAATTATTGGACCAATAAGATTTATGTATTTAAAGTTGTTTACTTTCGTTTGGAATTATGAAATTGAATTATTGTAGCTTTGTGATACTAGATTTTAACTTACTTGTGAGATTGATGTATTTTAAGTTATTGAGTATCTTGCATTTTTATTATTATTTTAACAAAATTAATATTAAATACAAGTTCAAAATTAACATTGAATTTTTATTTTTAATATTTCAATAACATTAAATATAAACTTAAAATTATTTGTAATATAATTTTTTAATTTTTTAAAAAATTTATAAATATTCATAAATATCTGTGAGTATTTAAGAAATTCATAAATACTTACTTAATAGATACTCGTGAAAACACTGATAAAAGCAGGAAATTGCATTAACAAATCAAAAGGGCTCTAACGGCCCGGAACTACAAGAGATTAAACGGGGCACTATCAGCCCCAACATACAAAATTAAAAGAAAATCACCCTAAGCCTGTGCCTCGGGCTCCCCTTGTACTGAAGGCTCCTGCTCGGCCACTTCCTCCTGCACGTGACCGCTTCCACTCGGTGCGGCCTCAAGACGAACAGGGACTTCAGTGTCCGGCTGCTCATTCGACAGGATTTGGGTCAAATTGACATATTTCCCCCGATAGAAGTCCCTCTATTTTGGTCCTTTATAATCTTTTTTTGTTTCAATTTAGTCCCTAATTAATTTTTTTGTCTCAATTTGGTCCCAAATTAATTAATTGGTTTCAATTTAGTCCTAAATTAATTAATTGGTTTCAATGTGGGACTTTCCGTCCAAATTGCTTTAACGGTGTTAACTTTTGGCCACGTGGACGCCACATAGATGCATACGTGGCATCCACGTGGATGAGAATTTTTTTGAAAACACCTGGACCCAGAACGGCCCGTTCTGAAACCGGAACGGGCCGTTCTGGGTGCACTTTTGGTGTGTTAATTTTGCATCCGGAACGGCCCGTTCCAAGTGCAAAATTAACACACCCAAAATGCACCAGAACGGCCCGTTCCAGTTTCAGAACGGGCCGTTCCGGTTTTATTTTATTTTTT